TGCACCACGTGGAGGTAAGTCTATCGCACACCCCACTATATACATTATAAAATAGTAGAAATTTAATCTCCAGCATTGATAGCCCAAAAGTATTTCCCGAAACTGTATATATTTTTTTCTTTTTCAGCTAAAAGGACTTTTTTATCAAGATTCAAAATGTCAAATAAAGTGATTGTATCAGCACTTATTTGTTATTAAATATCTTAAAATACTTTAGTACCTTAACCACATATTTTTATTTTATTTTCCCTATAAGAATATAATAATGTAAATTTGGGCTGTCTGAAATCTCAGCCAATTTTAATCTGTCAAACCTTAAAGTAGCGATACACTGCAATATTCAACTAAATCCATTTAAGCCTGCTGCTGTAGAAACTATTAGATCTCGATTATGGTATCTATAGGAGGTTATGTTGTGTGTTAGCATTTAAGCACCTATTTAGATGACAATTATCGCTGTCTTCGAGAAGAGAGTACATGTTATATTATATCTTCATCCCCTTTATAAAAATGGGTTAACTAAAGGACTTTTAATTGAGGTATCGATATGAGGAACTTGACTTATTCTTTCACTCTGATTGCGTTCCAATATTAGCTTATTTAATGTAATATTACTCATGACAGTGGAAGGCATAGAGTATTTTGACCAGACGTTTATTTGAATTTGTCCCTATAGTGTGACAGAAATATTTAATTAGTTTTGTTAACTAATATACAAACGGTTAATTCTTGTGCTTTGAGAAATTTTTTAATTTTGGCGAACGTACAATTGCGATAAGACGAGAATCATGATAACGCTTGAAAGGATTATTTATTTGATTTTCACGTAATCATTATACGCTTTACTTGCAAAAAATAAATTGTCTTTATCGATATAATTTTGCTTTTAAATTTCATAACGCTTCCTCCATTTTGAAATAATTTCCATATGTCCAGATTTAATTACTAATTGAGGGGTGTGCGATAGACTTACCTCCACATGGTACAACCTGAGCAACATATTCTCATACGGAAAAAATCAATAAACCGGCAGTTAATTTCTCACTTCAAATTACCATGACTCTACTGTATGTCATATTCAGCCACTTCCACAGTTCTCATTTCACCTTTTCTCTGCCGTCTCGTACATCTGTAAATCACTCTTCTGTTCCCCCTTCCGAAGTTTTCTCCCTTTGATATTCCTCTCCACTGTGAATCCCTAAGTCAGCTATATGGCTAATAATAACTATTAAAAAGCCTTCCATTTGAAAAATATAAATAATTTATTGATTAGTTCAATATTTTATATTATCATGCAGGAAGATCAGTGCTGGACAAGGTGGTTCTATAATTGATGAACACTCTAATGTACGCTTAATCTGAAACCGGGCAAAAATGCCATCTAGTAATTAGCCATTTTAAAAATCTGGGTTTATCATACCATATTAGATGAGAATTCTTGTTTTCGTCATTATAATTCGAATTTCAACAAATAATTAACTATGTCGAACCTAAAAATTAACTTATATTACACCGGAATTTTGCGCATAAATTTGTAATATTTTTCCCATATCTAGATAAACATTTATATGAGGTGTGCGATAGACTTGCCTTCACGTGGAGCACCCTGGGCATCGTATACTCATGCGGCAAAAAAGTCTCTAAACCGACAGTTGACTACTGACTTCAAACTGCCATGACCCCACTATATGTCATATTCGACAACTTTCACAGTACTCACTTTTTCTACCTTCGTCTTTGAAACACTCTTCTCTTCCCCCCCCCCCCACACCCCTCCTCTCGACTTTTTTTCACTTTAATGTTCCTTCCCCTCTGTGGAGCCTGAAGTCAACTAAAGGGCTAATGATGACCATCAAAACGCCTGCCATTTGATATAAATAAATGAACATTTATATTTTTTGATCTTGAACTATTGCGGCCACCGATCTAGACCTCTTAGTTACACCTTTATACACAGAATTCTGTTTGCGTTTACATAGGAAAACCGTTGGATCTAATCTTCTAGACAAGTGAATTACATTTTTTGTATTAATTGTTGATTTTATGGTAAATTTTCCTAGTCATCTTGGTGCATTATTCGTGTTTAATTGGAATAACTCAAATTTATATGAATATCATATATTTAACAATAAATAATAATAAAGGTTAAAATTTCCGTCGAAACACCTCAAATTATTAGAAAGCAATGGCTTTCGTCACGTGAATTGATTTACAGTATTTTAACAGTTTAGTCCAAATAGATTAGTCAATAGTTTGTCTGAGATCAGACGCTTATGCGCCCATAACCGTAAGCAAAGCTATAATCGTGTTAGAATTGACACTTTGATTTTGAAGAGGCTGCTGTCCGCCAACACTCAATCGAACGCCTCCAGAGCCTGGTACTGAAGCTCCGCAATTCTCACCTTTCGGCGTATTTGCTGGACAAAGAGGTGAAACCTTCTTCGCTACAAAACTCCAAACCTGCAGCTGCTCCGGCTTCACAACAAACCTCAGCATCTTTACCTCTCCAGGGAATAGTGGAATCCTTTCGAATCCGACCAATTGTCTCGACGCAGCTTTGTATTTTCCGTCAAAATTATTCTCAACTTTTGTGCCAAAGAGGGTCAACCAATCGAGATAAACTTGTACCACTTCCTCTGCAGCTAGAATACCTCTATTAACCACCTCAACGGTGAATGTAAATCCAATTCTTGCCGATACAGTTAATGCGGGAATATCAAGGTTTCGATAAGCAAAACCACTACCTTTAGATGCATAGTTATAAGACAGACCGTAGCCGAATGGATAGATCACCTGCTGACAATCAGATGATGTCGCATTTTTAGGACAGATAGTGAATTGATTGAAACGGTAGGTGTGGTTGCTGACATTATAATTTGTGATCTCTGGCATACCAGAGAGACTCTCATACCAAGTGAAGGGGAGACGACCTGCTGGAGTCCACCAGTAGCCTTCTTCACTAAAGGGAGAAATCCCAAAGTCATTGGAATTTTCCATTTCTCCTGAATTTCCTAGTAATATACGAGCGGCAATCCGACCTGCCTCCTGTCCAGGATAGCCGAACCAAAGAATCGACCTAACCTGTGGAGAAGCGACAACCACTGAGATATTCACCGGAGCAGCTGAGTAGATAAAAACTACTACTGGAATAGAAGGTGCATAAATCGAGATGAGTTCGAGCATGCGTTGCTGTTGACCAAAGAGTTGAAGACTTGGATTATCTCTAGACTCCCCCACAAATTTACTGCCTGTGCCGATGGTTACCACAATAGCGTCGAATTTGCCTTTTGTTGAGTTGGTGAGAAGTTTGATGAGACCAGCTTCATCGCCTCTTGTGCATCTAGCTCCGTTGTCGCAGAATTCAATCCCATGGACTGTGTCTGCTACCTCCAGTAAGCCTAAAGTGAAGAAATGCAATGGCCAAATGAAGTTAGATGTATCAAGTGGTTAACGATCTTTAATTACAAATGAGATTAGGATCAACATTTCCCCACTCTTTACACCATGGTACAGCATTGCGCAAATATTCTAATAAAACATTTAATAAGTTTTCATTGCAGTTTTCGACTGAAAATTAAACTTACGTAAGCCACCGATCATCTTACTACTAAGGCACTGGAAGGTAGCAATTCCAACCAATGAGGAAGCATTTACCCGCTCGCGGACCAATAAATTTTGAACCAATGAGAGGCTCGAACCCGAGCTACCCTCAGTTACTAGCCCTTGTTACTTCAGACGGTAGCAATCTATGCGGTAAGATGGTTGCATTCTTACATTATTCTACTCACAGATATTTCCCGTTTCTCTATCCTCTCTCCTTTTCGCTTATTCGTAGCAATATTCTAATTTGCATTTCTGACTTAGCAGTGTCGTACTCTATGTTACATTAACTAATCGCCTTTTCCACGCATGTCATTTCAGTTGACCAATTACAAAGCGAGCGCCTGTATTGTAACCATCGTCTTTCCATCATGTTGATATTGAATAGGTGGAAGTTCTTCAAAACTTTCTGTCTTCTCAAAAACATGCCGCCTACAAACGACTAAAACTTAAATACTTATGATGAAATAATCAATTTCACTGGCGAATCATATTGTTCGAAACGATAAGTGTTTTGATCATATATTTAACTGGCTAGCAAGTCTTTATTAAGACGTTGAAACAATGTACAAAGGGACATTATTATCATTACCTTTATCCAAAGGAGTTTCGAACTGCGGCATTGGAGTGGCTGGATACGAGCCAATCAGCTCATCCATGCTCTTGGCGAATGGCCCAATCAAGGCAAGCTTCTTGAGCTTACTTGAAAAAGGTAGAAAGTGATTGAGATTTTTTAGAAGAATGGTGGCACGACATCCTGCAATCAACGAAAGACGCCGGTGTCTGTCTGATTGAATGAACTGCGAAAAATAATAAACAAAGCATGGCTTATAAACAGTGTGGTTGGTAGAGTTGGGTGACTGATAGAATGGTGGAAGTATTCGATATAAACATCGTCCATACTGACAAATTAGTTACAAGTGCAAGAGTTTATCATGAGAAAATTAATTGGGGCATTTTGCCTTTCTAATGATAAAATGTATTAACCTTTGTAAATATATGATTAATATTTTGGCGTTAATTTTATTTTAGCAAAAAATGTAGCTGATAAGAAACTGAAAGAAAGATTATATGTGTGTGGGACACTTCATCAATGACCAAATAGAAATCCTGCT